AATGATTTGGATGTGAATATAGTAGGTATGGTTTGTAAGTTCACAGATGACACCAAGATTGGTGGTGCAGTGGACAGCCAAGAGAGTTACCTCAGAGTGGGCTGAAGAGTAGCAGATAGAGTTTAATTCAGAGAAGTGGGAAGTATTGCAATTTGGTATACATTCGAATCCCACCATGGCAGATAATGGAATTTGAATTCAGTAAAGAATCTGGAATTAAGAGTATAATGATGACCACAAACCATTGTAGATCTGACAAATTAAGAAAATGAACCTTCAGCACCAACTTAAAATGGCATACTACTCTCGTCAGCATATAAATCTGTTAAATGAAGCAGACAAACATTCAAAACCTAGTTAAGATCACACGTTGCTCTTAAAAGCTTATAAATCTGCCAAATTAAGCAAACAGGCATTCAATGCTCAGTTAAAACAGCATACTGTTCCTAAAAGCTGATAAATCTGTCAAATTAGGCAAATGAAATTCTGAAACTCACTTCAGATTGCATACTGCTTTCACTAGAGTTCAAATGTTTTGAATTAGGCAAACAGATGTCCAACACCCACTTAAGATACCATAATGATTTTAATAGCTCATTGACCTGTCAAATTCAGCAAATCTTCAACATCGAGTTAAATCAGCATTCCGCTTTTACCAGCTCATAAATCTGTCAAAATCCATCACATTGTGGTTGCAGCTGTGCCAATAACTCCTGCTGAGCAGAAAAGTCTATTTGCACTTGGACCTCAGCTGAGGATTGGTACTTTGATGGAGATCCTTGGCAGTGAGAGCCTTTCAATGTAACTTCTACCTTTTACTCTTGCAGATCGGCTGTTGGAGCCGCAACCGGTGGCAACATGGCAGCTGTGCATTTGAAGCCAAGCTGTTTCCTCTTTCTCTGCCTCTTCTTCCAGGATGCCCTGCGTGCCTGTACAACTGGGCTTGCCAGCGAGTGCCGCGATGCCAACTTTGTGCCAGGGGCCCAGTTGGCGGGTTTGGGCTACGACGTGGTGACCCTGCAGCCCAAGGGCGCCTTTGTAATTGACGTGAACACCTGGCGATTCGCCAATGGGAGCTGCACCCTCTGCCACAATGAGCATCTCGGTAATGTGCGCCAGCGGCTGCCCATCTCACTGGTGGACTGGCGCACCCTGAGCTCCTGCCAGCGCTCGCTCTCCAGCCAATTCTACCGCTCAGCTGACATGCTGGCACAGTCAGCCACCTCTGCCATCACCAATGACTGGCGGGTGGACCTGCATCTCAATGCAGCCAATCTGGTGCTGGCCGGCTCCAAGTCCAAGCTGGTGAGTTTTGGCACCTCCCGCTCCAAGAGCGACCGCTACAGTTTCACCAGTCACCAGTTCCAGTGCCGCTACTACCAGTATCGGGTGAAGGACAAGCCCCTCCTGGCACCTGAGTTTGCCCGCTCCCTCTCCAGCCTCCCTCCCAATGGCAAGAAGTACCAGTACAGGAAGCTGGTGGCCACCTATGGCACCCACTACGTCATGTCGGTGGAGCTGGGCGGGCACTTTAAGGATGTGACGGCTATTCGGACATGTGAGACGGCATCTGAGGGCTACACCATTGAGGAGGTGAAGGACTGCCTGTCGATAGAGGCCGGTTTGACGGCGCAGCTGAGGGCAAAGGCTTCAGTGAGGAACGAGAATTGCCAGAAAATGGCGCGTGCTATGAAGCACGGTGACAAGGTCTACCAGGCCTTCAATGACCGGGAAACGGAGTTGACGGGGGGTAAGGTCCAGCAGGGGGCAGACCTTTTCTTCTCCAGGGACAGTTCAGCCTTCTCCGGCTGGATGAACAGTCTGACCTCTCACCCAGGCACGGTGCGTTATGACCTGGTGCCTCTTCACCACATGCTTCCCATGAGTGACCCCAAGCGAAAGAACCTGCAGCGCTACATCAGCGACTACATTGTGCACAATGCCCTCTCCAAGCAATGCAGGGTGGGTGCCACATGCCCCCATGGGTCCTACCGCAACCCCTACCAACCTTGCAACTGCGTGTGCCGCGAGGATAATCAGGTGGACCGGAATTGTTGCTCCAAGCAGAAGGGGCTGGGCCACCTGGTGGTGACTGTCAAGGAGGGCCGGGACCTCTGGGGGGACATTTTCTCGGGCACCGATGGCTACGTGGTGGTCAGATATGACCGAAGGGAGGCCAGGACCAATGTGATCTGGAACAACAACAATCCCCGGTGGAACACCAAATTGGACCTGGGCAAGGTCAGAGTCAGCGATGAGCACAAGCTGACCATCGAGGTTTGGGACGAGGATGCCATCAAAAGAAACGATCTCCTGGGGAAATGTGAGGTCAGACTGACCTCTGGCACCCACAGGGAGGTCTGCTACCTCCGGTATGGCAAGGTGACCTACGATTACACCTTCACCTGTGGCCCGCACCTGGGCGGTGCCATCTGCCAATCCTATGTGCCCCTCCCTGGCAGCATGGCCTTCACCCCTTACGTGGGCACCACCAACCACACCGTCCATCTCAACACAGTCAAACTCAATCGCTCTGAACCATCATTCCCAGTGGTCTACTTCCCCTAACCCTTGCTCAGACACTGTCATGGCTATATCATAGCAGTATTATGCCCCTCATTTAATATGGGAGGCTTTGTGCCATTAAAATGAAATGCTTTGAAGCTTTGTCCAAACACGCAAGCAGTGTAGCACACCGTGATGTGAAGTGCCAACTATAAAGACCATGCTCGTTTCTGTATGCATTTTTATAATCTTACATTTTTTCAATAAATTCATCTCTTTTGGCATTTAGCCTGTTTCACATGATCAGTGTGCCTGGGTGCACTTGGTCAGTGAGTTTGTTGCATGGTGTGAGGCTGTACATTGGAACCGTGCAGAATGGGAGTGAATGGGAAGAGTTTTGGGTCCTTTCGGATTGTGTTTAATGAAAGTGAATGGGAAGTGGTTTGGGTCCATTGGGATTGTGTAGCCTGACCACCCTGATCTTGAAAGGCTCTGTCAAGGTTTCCCTCTGTCGGGGGAAGGTGGGGAAGCTGTCTGACAGCTACACACTGGGTGTCTGATGGACACAGGGAGATTGAACAGCTGGGGGCAGTCATTGACAGCTCATTCAGAGCCTGCTGTCAGAGGGGGAGGTCACACAGGAAGGACAAGCTTGACATGATCCTTATTCCACCAGCTCACACAGCACTGCCTGACCTGGTTCTAACTGTCTGGGTATGATAAGGCACCAATTCTCAACTCATTCCTTCTCAAAGTCTGGACAGCAACCAACCCACTGAAAGATAGAGGTAGAGAGGGTGATTTGGCCTTTAAAAGGTGTCCCTGACAGGGACAGAAAGAGATTCTTTCTTTCACACCCACACATAGCCAGGTCTGCCACCTGTAATATGGCGGGGTGACCTACAACAACAGACTTGACCGTCACTTGGCTGTTTGTGCCTCACAGCCCGGAGTACACACTCTGGACCAATGACCCCATGTCTGCTTTTCTTGGTCACAGCCAACTGCAGTGTCATTGTCTCACTTGCTCTCCCTCTCTGTATCTCCCTGTCTCTCTCTCTCTCTCTCTCTCTCACACACACACACACACACACACACACACACACACACACACACACACACACACACACACACAGAATCAGTCTCACTTGCTCTATCTGAGAAACAGACACACAATCAGTATAAGTGTCGCTTGCTCTGTCTGAGAAACACACAAGCATACACAATCAGTCTTACTTGCTCTGCCTGAGAAACACACACATACACAATTATTGTCTCGCTCACCCTCTTTCGGACATATACACACAATAATTGTCTCATTCACTCTGAGACGTGCATTCTCACTCACATAAACACAAAATTGTCTTGCTTGCTGTCTGAAATCCGCATGCACACACACACACACACACACGCCCCCACACACACACACACAGTCATGACGCAGAGGTCGACTCTTCTCTGATAACTAAAACTGAAACCCAGAGAAGTTTCCCTACCTCATAATCTGTTAAAGGAAGTGTGAAAAATGGTATAGTTAGAAAAGTGGTAGTTACTTGAGTAACTCAGAGAGGAATGGTTGTTGGAAGTTCCGGGATTTAGATGCTTTAAAAGAAGTAGGGAGGGTGGTAAAAGAGGCGGGGAAGTGGGATTGCTAGTCAGGGCCTAGTTTTGCAGCTACTGAAAGGCAGTTCGAGAATGATATGTCTACAGAGTCAGTTTGGGTTGAGGTCAGGAACAAGAAAGGAGCAGTCACTTTGTTGGGGGTTTCTTACAGACCCCCTAATAGTTGCAGAGAAGTGGAGGAGCGGATTGGGAGGCAGATACTGGAAAGGTGCAGAAGTCACAGGGTTGTAGTCATGGGTGACTTCAACTTTCCAAATATTGATTGGAAACTTTTTAATTGTAATAGTTTAGATGGAGCAGATTTTGTCCAGTGTATTCAGGAAGGATTCCTGAAACAGTATATAGATAGACCAACAGAGGAGAGGCCACTTTGGATTTGGTGCTTGGCAATGACCTGGGCCAAGTGTTTGACCTGTTGGTAGGAGAGCATTTTGGCGGTAGTGATCATAACTCTGTTACTTTTACAATAGTCATGGAAGAGGATAGGTACATACAGCAGGGTAAGGTTTAGAATTGGGGGAAGGGTAATTACAATTCTGTTAGGCAAAAATTGGATAACATAAAATGGGAACAGATGCTGTCAGGGAAGAGCACTATTGAAATGTGGAGATTGTTTAAGGAATGCATACTGCGTGTGCTCGATATGTTTGTCCCTAGCAGGCAGAGAAGATGCGGTCGAGTGAGGGGGCCTTGGTTCTCAAGAGAGGTCAAACAACTGGTTAAGATGAAGAAGGATGCTTATATAAGGTTTAGGAAACAAGGATCGGAAAAGGCTCTAGAGGGATACAAGTTATCCAGGAAGGAGCTGAAGAAAGGGCTTAGGAGAGCAATAAGGGGGCATGAGAAAACCTTGGCTGATAGCATCAAGGAAAACTCCAAGGCTTTTCACACGTATGCGAGAAATAAGAGAATGACCAGAGAAAGGATAGGGTCGATCAAGGATTGTAAAGGGAGTTTGTGCACGGAGCCTAAAGAGATAGGAGATGTCTTTAATGAATACGTTTCTTCGGTATTCACAACTGAGAGGGACCTGGTTGTAGAGGAGGACAGTGTGAAACAGGCTGGTAGGCTAGAGGAGGTCGATGTTAAATAAGAGAGATGTACTAGGAATTTTGAGGAACTTGAAGATAGATAAGTCCCCCGGGCCTGATGGGATTTATCCAAGGATTCTATGGGAAGCGAGGAAAGAGATCGCAGGGACTTTGGCGATGATCTTTTCGTCCTCACTGTCCACGGCTATAGTGCTGGAAGATTGGAGGGAGGCAAACGTCATTCCCTTGTTCCAAAAAGGGAATAGGGATAACCCCGGAAATTACAGGCCAGTTAGTCTTACGTCAGTGGTGGGCAAATTATTGGAAAGGGCTCTGAGAGATAGGATTTATGATCACTTGGAAAGGCACAGTTTGATTTGTGATTGTCAGCATGGGTTTGTGAAGGGTAGATCATGCCTCACAAACCTTATTGAATTCTTTGAAGAGGTGACCAAATACGTGGATGAAGGTAGAGCAGTGGATGTGTTATACATGGATTTAAGTAAGGCATTTGATAAGGTTCTCCATGGTAGGCTCATGCAGAAGGTAAGGAGGCATGGGATAGGGGAAAATGTGACAGATTGGATTCAGAATTGGCTGACCCTTAGAAGACAAAGGGTGGTAGAGGACAGAAAATATTCAACATGGTGATCAGTTACGAGTGGTGTACCACAAGGATCTGTTCTGGGTCCTCTTCTCTGTGATTTTTGTAAGTGATTTGGATGAAGGAGTGGAAGGGTGGATTAGCAAGTTCGCCAATGATATGAAGGTGGGTCACGTTGTGGACAGTGCGGAGGGCTGTTCCAGGTTACAAAGGGACATTGATAGAATGCAGAGCTGGGCTGAGAAGTGGCAGATAGAGTTTAACCCTGAAAAGTGTGAGGTGATTCATCTTGGAAGGACAAACTTGAAAGCAGAATACAGGGTTAACGGAAAGATTCTTGGCAGTGTGGAGGAACAGAGGGATCTTGGGGTTCATGTCCACAGTTCCCTCGAACCTGCCACCCAGGTGGATAGAGTTGTTAAGAAGGCGTATGATGTGTTAGCTTTCATTAATAGAGGGATTGAGTTCAAGAACTGTGAAGTTATGCTCTAGCTATACAAAAGCCTAGTTTAGCCACATCTGGAGTATTGTATCCAGTTCTGGTCGCCTCATTACAGGAAAGATGTGGAAGCGTTGGAAAAGGTGCAGAGGAGATTTACCAGGATGTTGCCTGGAATGGAGGGAAGGTCTTACGAGGAAAGGTTGAGAGAGCTCGGGCTCTTCTCTTTAGAACGACGAAGGATGAGAGGTGACTTGATAGAGGTGTACAGAATGATCAGAGGTATAGATAGAGTGGACAGCCCGAGATTTTTTTCCTCGGGTGGAGGTAGCTATTACGAGGGGTCATAGTTTTAAAGTGAGTGGAGGTAGATATAGGGGAGACGTCAGAGGTAGGTTCTTTACTCAGTGAGTGGTCGGGGTGTGGAATCGGCCTCATTCAGGGCATTTGAGCGGCTATTAGATAGGCGTATGGATGATAGTATAAGGTAGGGGTGGAGGTTAGATAGACCTTAGGTTTCGGGTAAAAGTTCGGCACAACATCGTGGGCCGAAGGGCCTGTACTGTGCTGTACTGTTCTATGTTCCATGTTCTATAACCTGCCTCTCACACCCCTACTCTGCTATAAAGGGAAGGTTAAATGAAATGAACTCCTGACAGTCACTCTATAATCAGCAAGTAATACTTTATTTATCTAACTCTAATAATGAACAAATTAACAGGACTGCTAACAAACCAAACAATTTCCGCTTAACTACTAACAATTCCCAAATAAAACAAAATATAATTGTACGCTGTTCTAATAAATACAAGCCAACTTATATAAATCAAACTGAAAAAAAAAATTAAAGCTTAGTCTCTTGAAATTACAGCCAGAATACGTCTTCCAGGATGTTTGGTGCCTTCTCTGCTGTTTTTCAGTCATGAACACCTTTCTCTGTCAAATTCTTGTGTCAGGCTAAGAGTGCTGCTGTACCTTTAGTTCGGTGATGGTTAATCCGAGAGTTGAGAGAATTCTGTGAGAGCCAGTGAATTTCTCTTTAGAGCTGATGGGTTGTTAACTCTATTAGATGGCATTTACTCTCACATCAATTTTCAAATGATCTCTTCTTTTATACCCCTTCTTATAAAAGGATTAGTCCTAGGTTGTCAAAACCTTCAGATTTAAATTTAATTGGATTTAGTCTCTAAGTGCCTGGTTTAAATTAATTGGCTCATATTCAAACTGGTTGCCTAAACAAATGTCTGGGTTGCTAACCACACAGTCCCTGATATAAATATTTCAATTTCAGGAACTCTCTGTGCAGGTGCTGCTTCTTCCAGACATTTTTACCCCAAGCTTAGAAAAATGCATTATCTTTTAAAGGGACCATGCACTCTTCCACCGCTCCCCCCCAACATCAATTTACAGACATGACATTCTAACGTCCTGCCTTCCAATCCACAAATACTCTACGCAACTTCACAACACCTCACCATTTAAAAAAAGGAACCGTCATGATAAAAAGACGGCTTCTTTTTTTCCCTAAGTGTTTATGCCATTATTGCTTGATCCATAGGTCATTTATTTAGACTTACACATTTCATACGAA